TGTGGAAGGGCTGGCTGGTTGGTGGGGTTCAAGTGGGACGGTTTTTTTGCCCCCTCCCCCCCCTGCTTCATCTCGGTGGATTTGATATGATAGATGTATACCCTTAAGCCCCGCCTGTCAGTGGTTGTTTTTGTTGTTGTTGTTAATGTTGTTGGTATTGGTGGTGGCTTTTCATTTAATTGTTATTGTTATTTGATAGTAGTTACTGTTCGTTGTTGTTGTTATTTTGTTATTGTTACTATTTGTTTTTATTTTTATTATTTTGTTGATATTTTCATGATTGATGTTATTTTTATTATTATTATGATTATTATGATTATTATGATTATTATGATTGTTATGATTATTATGATTACCATAGTGTTTACTGTTACTGCTGTTACTATTATCCTATTGCTTTTTACTATTTGTGTAATTATGATCGCTAATTGTATCATCCACCTTGGCTCTTGGCGAGAAGACCTTCATGTTGTGTCGATTCGCGAGACTGTGGTAAAAGTCTCCTCGGCAGGGTAATTGCGTTGTTTGTAGTGTAGTTTAATGAGCGCGGTAGTTAGCAACACTGAAGGGCTGGTCTCGAGACTTTCAAGAGTCGTGTCTCGAGACTTTGGACAGTTGTGTCTGGCCTCGCGAGATGGAGGAGGAGGTCGAGCTTGGGTGCCGCTGCAGGCCTAGAATTAGGGGGAGATCGATGGAGGGGTCCCTGAGTTCTCGTTCTTCTTCCCCCCCCCCTTACTCTCTCTCTCTTTCTCTCTCTCATTCTCTCATTCTCTCTCTCTCTCTCTCTCTCTCTCTCTCTCTCTCTCTCTCTCTCTCTCTCTCTCTCTCTCTCTCTCTCTCTCTCTCTCTCTCTCTCTCTCTTCTTCTTCTCTTTCTCTTTCTCTTTCTCTTTCCTCACTTCCCCTCTCTCTTCTCCCCTCTTTCAAGTCCCCCTTTTATGGGGGACCCACATGGTGGCCCACCTGGGGTCGCTGATGAAGCCTACCTAACCTTTAGGCAAACGTGTACTTACGAAGATAAAAGAAGAAGAAGAAGAAGAAGAGAAAAACAAGAAGAGAAAACACGTGTGTCCCATTTCTTCGAGTGGGTTTCTTGTAAGTGTCGGAAGGGTTTTAAGGAGCGTGGGAAGCTGGAACACTTTAAAAACAAGTCCCCGCGTGGCACTTAGGTTCCGAAATGGCGGTGGTCCTCGAGGGGGGGATACCTCAGGGGGGGGGGTGAGAGGAACCTGGGGGGGATATTTGGATTTCTTTTATTTATTTATTTTACTTCAGGCATTGGTCTCTTCCCCCATTTGATGTATTTCAGCGAAATGAAAAAAAAAATCTATGGGTATAGCTAAGACCCCCTCCACCCCACCCTGTTTGTAAATAATGCAGGGAACCATTATCAAGTTTGACTTTTCAAAAAAATAAGAGTCGGCCATTAAAAGTTTTTTGAGAGGCTGTAAAAAAAAAGGGAGCGGGCCCCTTAATAGGTTCTGCATGACTGGGAAATATTGCCAGGAAAAAAATGGTGCTTTAAACAGGAAAATGAGAAAAGTTGAGAAAGTGAAGGCACTAGTAATCAGCCAGAGAGAAGATAGATTACGTGGGCCTAGGTTGCATGTTGAAACGGCGCCAGTTGAGATGTTTCGTGGCATAGGCCTATGGAAGGGATGAGGGGGGAGGGGAGGAAGGGGAAGGAGGAAGGGAGAGGTGGGGGGGCTTGTATAACACTTTAATGCGTAAGAGGTTGGAGGAAGGTAGGGAGGTAAGGGCGTGCGAGCTGTCATGTCGCTTACGTTACGGCGCGGTAGTTCAGATGACAGATCCAGGCACGGGCAGGCTGACAGGCACTCCCTCATGCCCATTCTTAACCTTCGTGCCAAGGGCGTGGCCTCGCTGGTGACCGGGGAGGGCACGGCGGGGGCGGGCGTGTGGGTGTTGGGGTAGGTTCGTTAACGAAGGTGGGTCGGAAGCTTGTTTATGTCGCGCGTGCCGATGGAGAGGTGTGGTTAGGGGGGGGAGAGAGAGAGAGAGAGAGAGAGAGAGAGAGAGAGAGAGAGAGAGAGAGAGAGAGAGAGAGAGAGAGAGAGAGAGAGAGAGAGAGAGAGAGAGAGAGATGGGCCTCTGGAGGTAGGTGTTGTAGGGCATGCGAGGGCGCCAGGCGAGGTGTTGTTATTGGGGTTTATCACGGCGGTGTCTGGCCTCACGAGGGCTTGTCCGTCAGCCCACGGGGGTTGGCCCAGTGCCAGGCTGTTACCGTGTGCTTGTTGTTCTAAAAGTAACAGCGGGAACGCCCACAGCATTTACTGAATTGGAAAGTTGGATTCTCAAACACAAATACACTCACACACAATTATACATGCACACACTTGTGCGCACACATGCGCGCGCGCGCACACACACACTCACTCACTCACTCCGTCTTCCAATCCCTCTCCCCATCTCTCTCCCCCTCCTCTGTACTTTCTTGACTCTCCTTGAACCTCCACGAACAGCGTAGGCAGTGAACTTCGAACGCACTGCCCCCCGTTTGGCCGCCTTGAGAACGCTTCGATTGAGCCCCCCCCCACCCCCCACCCCATCCCACCCCATCCCACCCCACCCGCGCCCTCACTTGATTGTGTACACAGTAATTTCCGCCTTGTTTTGGGTTAGTCATGGGGATATATATGCAAGGTTCAGGGCACTGGGGGATTCTTCTTAATTGGGCCGGGCCGAGAGCAGAGGTCCTGTTTGTTAGGGAGGGATATTAAGAGAAAGACGAGAGAAAAAAAAAGGATGATGTGGTGGTGGTGGTGGGGGGGGGGGATGGTGGTTGGGAGTAATGGCGAGGAAAGGAAGTGATGGTGGGGATGTTGGTTGGGAGTGACGTTAGGGATACTGGTTGGGAGTGAGAGCGGGATGTCAAGAGGAATTGGGAGGTAGTTTGTGATGTTGCGTGGGATTTGATGACGCAAGAGGAAAGGGAATTGGGATGGGCGGAATCTCAAGAGAAATTGGAATGGTGTTGGGGATGCTGGTTTGGGAGTTTGGGGAGACGCGGGCGGTGTGGGCTGGGAGATGGGCGTTCCCCGTGCATTATCGATTCCAGGGTTTTGGGGATTCTTTTATTCGTGTGTAGTGCGACGACGAATGTGTTTTTTTTTTCTTTTCTTTTCTTTTCTCTTATTCCGAGATGAACGGCGTCGAGTCGTGATAAACGGTGAATCCGATGACCGTGATGGCTTCTTTTACGCGGGGGTCGGTCGGGGTCGTCGCGGCGGAGGTTGACATCGCGTTTGAGTGACAGTGCGTGCCACCTTCACCTCCCCCATCCCTACCCACGCCCTCTCTCCTCTTCTCCCTCTCTCCCCTTCTCCCTCTCATCTCCCTCTCCCTATCCCTCTCCTTCTCCTTCTCCATCTCCCTCCCTCTCTCTCTTCCTTCTCCCCTTCTCCTCCGTCTAACACCCTCTCCTACCACCTTCACAGCCTTCCCCTCCCCCCTCACAACCTCCCCTTCCCCTCCTCCCCTTCCCCTCCTCCCCTTCCCCTCCTCCCCTTCCCCTCCCCCTTCCCCTCCTCCCCTTCCCCTCCCCCTTCCCCTCCTCCCCATCCCCTCCTCCCCTTCTCCTTCTCCCCTTCCTCTCCTCCCCATCCCCTCCTCCCCTTCCCTTCCTCCCCATCCCCTCCTCCCCATCCCCTCCTCTCCTGTTGCGTCTACACCGTCAGCCCGTCAGCCCATGTCCGCGGCTGACTCGGTGCAATGCTGACGACCGACCATGCACGGTTGCACCCCCTCCCCCCCCCTCTGCCGTTTTCGTGTGCTCTTGCCATGCGGCCCTCGAGTTATTCGTTCCAAAAATCCGCGGCGGATTAAAGTCCTCGCCACTCGCGTTCCTTGGGGCTGATTTCACCGCTGCTAAACCGAGAAGAGTACGTTGTGTGTGTGTGTGTTTGTTTGTGTTTGCGTTTCTGTCTGCGGGCGTCTGTCTGTGTCTGTCTCGGGGTTCCTGTGTTTGTCTGGGTGTTTCTCTCTGGCCCGGGGTTTGTATGTCTTTCTGCGTGCGTCTTTGTGTTTATGTTTGTATCTGTCGTGGTGTTGGTGTATCTGTTAAGTGTGTTCTGCATCTGTGTTTACTGCACCTGTAATTTGTGTTTGTCTTTGTAATTTCCTTAGTTTTATGCGTTAGTGTGTGTGTGTGTGTGTGTGTGTGTGTGTGTGTGTGTGTGTGTGTG